AAAGGACAGACCCATCTCACATCTCACACTAGAACCTAAATATTATGCAAGGGCATAAAACATTAACACAAACTAAATACCAGTTTCAGTCCAGATAAATGCACAGTATAAACATCAGATTTTTACACAGAAAGATACAGGAGATGGAGGTGTGGCTGCATGGTAGAGTGATTGACCTGGCCTGTACAAGGGTCTGCATTCAAGCCTCAGTAGCACACACACAGAGAGAGAGAGAGAGAGAGAGAGAGAGAGAGAGAGAGAGAGAGAGACAGAGACAGAGACAGAGACAGAGACAGAGAGAGAGAGATACCCAATACTATTTTACACCATACTTAATCAGAAAATTCCTATCTAATATTATACATGCAAATAGGAAAACCAAAGATTTCACTTCTTTAAGAGATTAATAGTTCTGGAGCCATGCAGTCCTGGGGTGGGGGCTACAAGCTGAGCTATAGACACTTTCTGGTTTCTATTTTGGGGCTTATGAGAGCTCTCGGGCTTGATGGGGAAGGGAAGAAAAGAAGTGGACACCTGGGGGCCTTGTCTGTAGGGACAAACTAGAGTCCAGATGACAGTGATCAGAGACCCCCCCCAAAAAAAGGGCTCACATTCTAGCAATGGATGCTTCCATGGCCATGAGGATGAAGTCACGGTCAATCAGCTTGAGGCACCTGAAAGTCTGGATACTGATATGCTAACAAGGTCCCTGCTGGGTGTGTGTACCTTGCGTGGTTTTCCTGCAGCTGGGCCCAGGTTAGATTAGTGAGGCACAGGTGAGTCACTGGGCAGATACAGGAAGGAGGCATGCTGTTGGAACCAGATAGGTCTGGGAGGCTCTACACAGCTGTATGTGGGTGCCTGACAGCTGTGTAGAGGAGTGGCCCACAGCTGAAGGGCTTCTTTTCCTCCACCTTTGTTTTCCCAAGATATAGGCAGCTATAGTAACACAATAATTGGGAGAGACAACAGATGGGGGCCCTCGCCCTCAACATCCCCAACATTCTCTGGGAGGAGCAGGTGAACAACAGATAAACAACAGGCAGGACTCCTGGCCCCATCTCATCTCAGAGTATTATTCCTGGTAGTATCCCAGAAAAATGGGCCTTGCTTCATGTTCTCTTTGTATCAATTGCTTGATTTTTGACAAGATACTGTTTGGGAAAAACAGGCTTGAGACAAGCAATTCTTAGTGTTGGTTTGAGCTGCTGGAAGAAGTATAAATTTGGTTTAAAATAGAAGGAAAGACACTTAATATAGATTTCATCATGACTAGGGGGTTGAATGTTAACCAAGCCCCTGAAGATCACTAAGGAAGATGCCAGGCTTCTTCATGGTCATATAAAGGATACCATCAGCCTAACAAAGACCCTACTGTTGTACCTTCACAACCCACCCTCTCCTACCCTAGTGTCTAAGCCCTATCCACTACCACTCTCCAGTTCTAAAGTTTTGTCCTTAGAAAACTGCTGTATATAAATATTATGTTAGTTTATTTTTTGTTTACTGTGATGAAATGCATGAGCCTGGGTAACTCTTACAAGAAAAGAGGTGTGTTTGGTATATATATATATATGTGTGTGTGTGTGTGTGTGTGTGTGTGTGTGTGTGTGTGTGTGTGTATGAGATTCAAGTGTTTGGCACAGTCCTCACCTCAACACTGGTGAATGCTGTCATAATGAGGGAACATTGCTTAGAGGGAGTGATCACATTGGCAGGCAGGAAGCCATAGTGAGGGGATGGGCTAAATAAGCTTTTTCCTCTCTTCCCTTCCCTATCCCCTTTTTTTCTAGTGATGGAGGTTGAACTCAGGACCTTGCTCATTCTAAACAATCATCCTATCACTGAGCGAAGTCCCTGGCACCTAAGCTTCTCTTTTTAAATAATAATATGGAGAACTAACTTAAGGTCCTGTGAAAATTGGAGAACAAGATTCCCACTAGCCCCCCCCCCCCGCCCCGGCCTTTTTTTTTCTTCAAGACAGGGTTTCTGTGTAACTTTGGTGCCTGTCCTGGAACTAGCTCTTGTAGACCACCAGGCTGGCCTCAAATTCACAGAGATCCGCTTACCTCTGCCTCCTGAGTGCTAGGATAAAAGGTGTGCACCACCACCGTCCAGCAAGGCCCCATTTTTTTTGTTTTGTTTTTTGTTTTTTTGAGACAGGGTTTCTCTGTGGTTTTGGAGCCTGTCCTGGAACTAGCTCTTGTAGACCAAGCTGGTCTCGAACTCACAGAGATCCGCCTGTCTCTGCCTCCCAAGTGCTGGGATTAAAGGCGTGTGCCACCACCACCGGGCAGGCCCCATCTTTTAAAACCTCTTCCATCTCAATATCAACACTTTAAGAGAAAAGCTTATGGCACAGGGACACTTGGAACACACGCCCAGACCACACCAAACCGTTGCAAATGGTGCGATTCCATTTGTAAAATATATATATGTGTGTGTGTGTGTGTGTGTTTCATTTGTACTATATATATGTATACACACACACACACACACACACACACACACACACACACACATATATATCGGCTGTAGGGCCGGCTTTTACACTCTTACTCTGCATACTTTTCCAGGATGCCACATGTATTTGCTCTTCATTCCCGAGTAATATTCCATAGTGCTTATACTGTAGTTTACTTGACCATTAACTGACTGAAGGACACCTGAGTGTTTACACTTTTTTGATGATCACAAATAAAGTTGCTACAGGTTTTTATCTCTCATGGATAAATACTCATGACTGAAATGGCTGGGTTATGTGATAACTACCTTCTTAGTTTTATGAGAAACTGACAACTTGTTTTCTATAGCCTTGACAACATTTAAAGTTGTCGGCGCACGCCTTTAATCCCAGCACTCGGGAGGCAGAGGCAGGTGGATCTCTGTGAGTTCGAGACCAGCCTGGTCTACAAGAGCTAGTTCCTGGACAGGCACCAAAGCTACAGAGAAACCCTGTCTCGAACCCCCCCCCCCAAAAAAAAAGTTGTCAGTATTTTTATTTAAGATTCTAAAAAGAAGTATGCTATTAGCTCATTATTGTTTTAATTAGCATTTTATTGGTGGCTAATAAAGTTGGTCATTAATCCTTAATTGCCATCTGTTTATTCTCTTCAGTCTTTTGCCCATATTCTAATTGGGTTTGAAAAACACTATGTAGTGGCCCTTTGTTAGATATGTGATTTGCAAATATTTTCTTCCGATCTGTGTGTAGAAAATCCTCTTGAATGTGCATGTATGTGCTGACTATGGCACAGACTGTTAATCTCAGCAGAGACAAGACAGGAGGATCTCTGTAAATATAAGACCATCTTGGTCTACAGAATGAGTTCTAGGCCAGCCACGAAGACAAAGTGAGACCCTTTCTTCTCTAATCAAACCTGGAACCTATCCACTAGTTTTGGAGCATGAAATAATTCTCAATATTTTTTCCAGGTCAAACTTTTCAAAATCATTCTCAACAAGACAACTGAGGCCTATGAACAGATAGATGCCTTATACCACATACAGTTTTCACTTATTCCTTGATTTTTATCCATTTTAAAGTTTCTATGTTTCATTTTATGTTACTTCTTTTCTTACAATATTCAAACATCTACAACAATAAATTCATGTTCAATATTTAAAGAAAGAAAGAAAAGCTTCTTGATAGAAGCCACATTAACCCTATAGGTAAATTCAGAGAAAACTAACATCAGCTAACATGCTGAGTTTTTCAGTGCCTGAGTAAAGTATCTTGTCCGTTTCTGTAGGCCTTTGTTGGTTTCTTTCATTAGTGTTGTACGGGTTTTAGCATGTAAGTGCTATACCTGTTTTGTTAAATTTATAGCTCAGTATTATCTTTGATGAGATCATGAATGTATTGTTTTTCATTTTGGTTTCCATGTTGTGCACACTGGTAGAGTGTTTAGGAAGACAGCTGTTGATTGTATACTGATCTAACGCTTGATAACCTTGTTGAACTCACTTGCTTAGCACAAGAGCCCTAAGATAGTGGATGGAGGCAGTTCAGCAGGTTTACTTAAACAATACAGGCAGTACAGGAAGTAACCACGGTGATGCCCCATTTGGAGATAGGCTACCTAAACCAGACGCTGGTGACAGGCATGCTTCCATCTAAGCTAGGGCCCCTCTCAGTCTCCCAGACAGAATATCAGGATGTCAAAGTCCCCAGCCAAGAGCAGCTCCAGGCCATAGGGGTAGGGTTTGGTGGACCGGGTCTTCAGGGAAGTGACCATAAACTGTGGCCCGAGAGTAAGCAGGGGTGAGACTGGAATGGAACCGGGAGAGAAGAGGGCAAGGACCACAGGCGTCATCATGAGTCTCAGAATATACTGCCCTTTTCAGGGTATCACCAGGGTTTTGCTCATTTTCTCCTTACTGGACAGGACTTCACCTCCAAATGGGAGAATCTATCTGACATGCACACAGCCCCACTAAGGACACACCAAAGGCTGGAACCTGTATGGTGTAAGGTGGTATCATCTGATATTGAAGATAAACAGCCTAGACTACACAAGTGAGACTCCAGCTCAAAAACTAAATCCCTAAGCCCCAGAAACGAACAAAAGGAACAGTAATCTTGAGGGCAAGACCATAGGGATGTGTTTGAAGCAGAAAAAGCCTCCTCACTGTGAGAAACTCACTTTCTGACCCTGCCTGGCCAGTCCCCCCTGTTCCTGCCCCAACAGCTCTTCACTCCTCACTAGTCTGAACAGGAACTTTGGCCTACAGGGCTTCACCTGAACCAGTCAGGCCAAACAGTGGCAAGAGTCGGGTGACTCCTATCAACTGCGTTAGCTCAGAGTCAGGTGACTCCTAACTTCTTTGCCAGGCCTCCTTTCTAACCACAGAAAGCAACTGCCCCTGCCTACTCAACCCAGCTGTTTTCCAGGTGCAAATGAGAGAGTCTTGAGTGGAGCTGGCAGCTGCCTACCTGCAGGCAGGGGTGGTGTAGCCAGACACAGCCTTTCCTCCATCCCGCCTCTTCCTCCTCTAGGAGGAGTCTAGTAACTGTCCCGGATTGGAGGTTTTTGGAAAACTGAACCCACTCTCCTCCTCCTGATTGGCTTCGGGCCGTTAAAGAGCTTCTACTTAGGACCTCAAGAATTTGAGGGGGGGCTTTCAGGAAATGCAGATTTTGCTCAAGTAGAGACCCCTTTCGGGGACCTTCCACTGCGGATGAAGTTCCAGGTGCAGAACACACAGGCTGTGGTAAAACAATTAGCTCTAAAGGGAATTTTTATCCCTCCGGTTTCTATCTTGGCCTCTGTCGGAGGGTAACCCTGCTTCTCCCACCCAACTTCTCCTTTGGGGCGGGGCCTAACCAGATCATTCCTCCCGGCCCTGGTCCTCGGATATCCTACCCACGCGCAGCACTTTGCCGTGAAATGCACGCAGGCGGCCGAGACTATGGGGGACAGGCTGGAAGCCTGGGACAGGTCGGGGACATCTGCAAACGCCGGAGAAGAGGTGCCTGTTCCCCGCGTCTATGCGCGCCGCTGGGTCTTCCTGCTGGCGGTCAGCCTTCTGAGCTGCTCCAACGCGATGGTACCGGGCGCCGGGACGGGCGGGGCGGGCGGGGCGGGTCTTTCCAGCAGCCCCACCGCCAGTTTGTTTTTGCTTCTTCACGGGAACCGACCTTTCTTCTAGCCCAAGAGGTAGTAAAAGAAGGTAAATACCTGTTCTGCCTGGGAGGGAACAGCCAAGACGACAGGTCTGTTAGTCTCAAGGGTCTCAACGCTGCAACTTGTTGCTTTCTTCTCACACCTTCCCTAGCCCCCAAATGCTAATGTCAGGGGGTCCCGTGAGGCACAGGTAGACTGCTGGTGATCCTCCCTAGCGTGGAACTGTTACCGTCTGCCGCTCAAAGACAGCCAACGCTGCACCTCTCTGGTGCTGGGTCTCCCTAGTACGTGTGAAGAAACTTTAGGTCACATTGTGGCCACTTAGCTGAATGGCTAGCATTTGGGCCATGCAGCTATGAGTTGTATAAAATATAGCTCAGACAGTGCCAAGCCTGGGGGCCATGAGGAAGTATAGCCCTCGGTGGGTCTAGATGGTGTACAGCCGCCTACCATGGGTTCAGCTACCCACTGGCACTCAGTGTGAATCAGCAGTAGGTTGGTTCTGATGGCCCTATCTTTTTCCCTGCTCTTGTGAAGAAACAACTTTGAGTGAAAGAGAGGGATACAGGTGATACCTGCTGTGGTCCTGGAGTTTATTAACTATGACAGTATCAGAAACTTCTCTCCTGGTAGCTGCCTTTACTAGTTGGGACTTGCTGCTATGGCTTGGCTCACAGGTCCAGTTTCTAGAATTAGGAAACATAATTGGTTAGGGATGAATGTCTGTGGATACATGCGGGAATCTACTTGAATCTTTCCTTCTGTAGATGCGGGAAATCCTGGGATACTTGGGTAGTGTCCTGCTGTCCTTATGGAGCAAACAGAATGTTACCCTGATGCTAAAAATTATCACGATCCAGGCTGGGTCCTCATTGTGACCTGTGGGCTACATGTTCAGTCATGCTTCCTGGAGTCCCTGCTCTTTTGTAGCTGGTGACGGGGCTCCAGGATTCTGAGAGAGCAGCCTGAGGGGCACATAGCTGTGAGACCAAAAGATGGCCCTGTGATTTACATGGGAAGGAGGTCAGGAGGTGAGCTAGGGCAAGGCTGAGAGCTGGTTCAAAGTATTGTCCAGTAGGTGAGATGGATGGACTTTTTTTCTTCCCACATCTGTCGCGTGATATCTCTGCCTTTTTGTATGTGGGCCACAGCTCTGGGAGGAACAAGAACAAAGGTGAGAGACTTGCTAGATGGGCTCTGTTTTTTTTTTTTCTTTTTTGGATTTTTGAGACAGGGTTTCTCTGTAGTTTTTGGTGCCTGTCCTGGAACTAGCTCTTGTGGACCAGGCTGGCCTCGAACTCACGGAGATTCACCTGCCTCTGTCTCCCAAGTGCTGGGATTAAAGGCGTGCACCACCACCACCCTGTGGGCTCTGTTTTTCTTGCTCAGCACACAGGTTCTGAAAACATACCTGGTCCCTGTTTGCTCTATGAGGCCAGACAGGAGGCAACTGGGCCTGCATGGGGCACTTTCTAAGTCTGGGAGACCTATCTGTTCTTGTATCCTTCTCTGAGAAAAAAAAAAGGAAATGCAGCTGTTGCACAACCTTGGGGTTTCCTGAGGCTTTGTGGTTGGGAAGGCTGACACTCTCTGTTCAGCTGTGGAGGGTGTGGCTTGGACCTTTGACATCCTGAGTAGGGTTCATCAGGAACTTTGATTTGGGACACACCCTTATTGGGCCACATATCTATCCTCTCTACTGTTCTAAGCTTGGGTGACCTCTTCTCTCCACTCAGCCCCCCAGAAAAACTTCCTCCACATCTTTTTTTCACTCTTCTGGGCTTCAGAGTCCCTATGCTTTGTAATGCCTAAGACAGGAGGATGTTGTGCAGAGAGAGATGCCATTGGTTCCACCCATCCCTAAAGAAGTCTTGGGCTCTGAACTCTTCTGTCTTGGCTCTCTTTGGCCCCTCCTTGGTCCTCATGCATGTTCTGAGCCCCCAAGGCATCATTTATCCGTGTCTGGATGTCTGGCATGGAGTCTTGTCCACACACCAGACCAGGCCTCATAGTCTCCCCTAAAATGTGTTCCTTGTCTATCTTGTCTCAGTACATTGCTCAACCATGAAATCTGGAACCATGGCTACCATCTGCACTCACGCCCATATCTCCCCCTCCTACCCTGTGTGCTCCAGGACTATGTCCTTAAGTGCTATGACCCACTCAGTGTGCAGGATGTCCCACCCACTGAGATTCTGGCTTCTCTGTCTCTCATTACTCACAGCCAAGTTTCAGCTGCCCACTTTCATATTTCCACCACCTTCAACACAGTACCTCCCAAGCAATGGACATGGTCTCCATTGATTGCCTTTAGCCTCAGAGATTCAGACCAATCCTGATGAGGTTAGTGGTCCTTCAGACTCTGGCCAGGTTTTTGGCCTCATGTCTGCCTCCAGGCTGGTTCATGGTTCACTGCTGGGCATGCTGTGGGCCATACCTGGCTGCTTTCATGGTTTGTAACAGAACAAGGGTGATTCTCTAGCAGGGTGACCCAAAGTTTCTGTTAGGCTCTGTCCTCATAGACTTTACAGGCATGCCCGCACCCCTGCTTCTACCCTGAGCTAGTCAACTGTGGGCTGTCTAGGTAATGTCTGTGACCCATAGCTGATTATGTGTGTCCCATAGCTATGGCTCAGCTTTGCACCTGTAGCAGACACCATCGCTCAGCACTTCTTCCTGTCCATGGAGCAGATCAACTGGCTGTCACTAGTCTACCTTGTGGTATCCATCCCATTTGGCATGGCAGCCATCTGGGTTCTGGACTCTGCTGGGCTCCGTGGAGCGGTAAGTTATCCCATACCTGTGTGAGGAGGGAGGGACCCTTTGAATTTGGCTGCAGAAGTTTGGTCTCATCTCCAGATTAGAGTCTACCAGTCCTTATGGCTGGGCTCTCCAGGCAAAGCAGCTGGGGAGGGCAGGTAGATATTGGGGTATCCCTATAAGGTAGGGATAGGTATCTGGAGATGTAGGTGTGAAGGGTCTTGACTGCCATATAGTCTTTTGACTGTCCATTCCTACAGACTATCCTGGGTGCATGGTTGAATTTTGCTGGGAGTTTGCTACGTGCTGTGCCCTGCTTGGATGTCAGGATCCCCAGTCCATTTGCCTTCTTCATGAGTGGCCAGAGCCTCTGTGCCTTGGCCCAGACCCTGGTCATCTCTTCTCCAGCCAAGCTGGCTGCCTTATGGTTCCCAGAGCACCAGAGAGCCACAGCTAACATGATCGGCACTATGTGTGAGTCCCGGGGTGGGACCTCTGCAACTTGGGCTCAGCTCACAGACCCTGCTCTATGTGTGTCCTCTGCTCTCCAGCTTGGGCCAAAGCCAAGGTGCCTGAAACAGGCACGATTCCCTACAAGGGCTGGGGTGAGGCCTGTCACAACTGAGCTTATACAACTGTTTTTCTACCCAGCAAATCCTCTGGGCATCCTTGTGGCAAATGTGCTATCTCCTGCCCTAGTCAAGAAGGCAGAAGACATCCCCATGATGGTGAGGGGCTCTTGATGATCTTACATGTGGCATGTGTACTGTGTCAACTTGAGTATATACATATACTTGTGTACAGTACATATGGTAGTTTTACTGGTATGTGATCTATACACACATACATATACCTGGTGTATATAAATGCTTGTTGTTATGACATCCTAGGTATGTTAGCATGATCTGCTTCTTATGTAGGACTAAGTCTGGAGCTGGGAAGTTGGGCTGGTGTTATCAAGAATGGATTCATCCTTGAATATTATTCTGAATGCTAGGTTCTACATACAGCCATAAAGAACAGATGAGGGTAGAGGGATTCAGCCCCCCAAAGGAGTGGGGTTTGCTGATTCTGGAGATTAAAGGCAGGTGCCAGCTAGTAAGGTGGACAGAGCAGACTGAGACATGTGGGGGGTACATGTGTCGGTGTGATGTAGCATGATTAATAAAAACCCAGAGACAGATATTGGTCAGAAAAGCAAAATAGCCAGCTACTGTCTCTGACTTCTACCTCAGTCCGAAATGACAATTCTGTGTCTGAGAGCTGTCTCCTCCAGTCTTATATGCCTCTCGAGGGCTGGGATTAAAGGCCTGCATCACTAGTGTGGCTTCTTTGTGACACTCAGAATCTCTCCCCAGCTTGGTATCTACATTATCCCTGCTGCCCTTGCCTGTCTCTTGGCCACTGCCTGCCTCTGGGAGAGTGTGCCTCCTAGCCCGCCATCGACAGGGGCTGCCAGTTCCACTTCAGAGAGTTTCCTCCACGGCCTCAAACTGGTGGGTTGTGTGGGTTCTGGGGGCGGGGAAGCTGTGTTCAGAAGCTTGCTTGGGCTCCTGAGTTGAGGGCTGTTTTTCCTTCTAGCTCATCCAGAATAAGGCCTATGTCATCCTGGCCATATGCTTCGGTGGTGGCATTGGTATCTTCTCCAGCTTCTCAGCCCTCCTGGAACAGATCCTTTGTGCCAATGGCTACTCCAATGTAAGTTGTAGCCCTGCCTTTGGAGTGGGCTCTGCCTCTGTGAGGGTTACCTACAGCTCCTGAGCACCCAGTTCACCCCTGCCCGATAGGGGTGAGATCAACAGCCACTCATGGAGGTGGTAGCCATGGCTGTTTATATATCTCTGGGTCATGACCTCTGCCTCCTGACACAGTGGCTGGTGTAGGTCTCTCATGGGCCATAGGCATGTATCTAGGGTCTATGGGCTATCTGTGGTGATACCCCTTTCCCTTTAGTGAGGTTCACATTGTAGAAAATCCATCCTAGGAGGCAGCTTGACAGGGTTGCCTAGACTGGCCCTCCGGAACCTCCCTGGTGATGATGTATGCTCTCAGGAGCCCTGTTGGCTCCCTGCCTCTGGATGGTTCTAAGCTTGCCCAACCCACTTCCAGGAGTTCTCAGGCCTCTGTGGGGCTCTCTTCATCGTGTTTGGGATTTTGGGGGCACTGCTTCTAGGCCTGTATGTGGATCGGACCAAGCACTTCACCGAAGCCACCAAGATAGGCCTCTGTCTGACTTCCATGACCTTCGTGGCCTTTGCTCTGGTGAGACTCATTGGGAACAAAGATGGAGGGAGACTATGGCAGATGGGTCTGTGAGGGACAGCGGTGGCTTCCCCAGAGCTGGTGCCTCAGTGTCGGGTAACCCTGGGTAGGACTGGCTTCACCGCCACACTCTGTCACTCAGTCTAGGAACTCACAGGGGAGGTGGCATGACTTACCGCCATCCCTGTTCCATTCTCTACCCCTTGTTGGTGCCAGGTGTCCCAGCTGCAGGGACAGACCTTTGCGTTGGCCGCCATCTGCTCCCTCCTAGGGCTGTTTGGCTTCTCAGTGGCACCCGTGGTCATGGAGTTGGCAGTTGAATGCTCGTTTCCTGTGGGTGAAGGTGCCTCTGCTGGCTTGATTTTTGTCCTGGGGTGAGTATCCTTCTGGGTGGCGTTGGTCACTTCTCCCAGGGTATGGATTTCTTTCCTTGTGGATCTTGAGCCATGGCTCCCGATCCTTGAAGCTAGGAACGTGCTTGCTCTGACCAGGATAAGCATGTACTGAGTACTTGCTGCGTGCACGCCTGTGCCTCTGCAGGGCCAGTAGACAAAGGCAGCCTACTGCTTCAGGAGTGACAGGTGTTACACCGGTGGGCATAGGTGTTTTTTCCTTCCAAAGATGGCATTTGGTGTGGTGGGCAGAGAGCTTTGCTGCCCAGACTGAGGCCCTGTATCTAGGCAGGCCGAGGGTGCCGGTGTGGTGGGCCGAGAGCTTTGCAGCCCAGGCTGAGGGCCCTGTATCTAGGCAGGCCGAGGGTGCCGGTGTGGTGGGCCGAGAGCTTTGCTGCCCAGGCTGAGGCCCTGTATCTAGGCAGGCCGAGGGTGCCGGTGTGGTGGGCCGAGAGCTTTGCTGCCCAGGCTGAGGCCCTGTATCTAGGCAGGCCGAGGGTGTGCTCATCATGCTGCTGCTGACGGCGCTGACCGTGAGGCGAACGGGCCCATCCTTTTCTACCTGCCGGCAGGGCGAGGAGCCTCTAGACTGGACAGGTGAGTTTCTGAGCCCAGGCCTTGGCCCCAGAGAGCTAAGACCGGACCAGGAAGATAGGGTATTAGGAGGCCTGGCCCAGCTGAGGATATTGGATCTTGTTGGTCTTTACACCCAACTGGCAGTCACCAGTTGGTATGGGTGTGAAGTGGTATGGTCAAATGCCTGGGCTCTGCTTGTAGGTGTAGTCCCAAGACCCTGACAAAAATCCAACATCAGTATCCCCCCCCCCCCCCCCCCCCCCCCCCCCCCCCCCC